CAAGAAAATTTTTCCACCAAATTTTTCTTCTAGAGTTTTTATAGTTTCAGGTCTTACATTTATGTCTTTCTTTATTTTAGTTTATCCTTGTATATTTGTCATGAGTTTGAGACACAATTTCTTCTTTTGTCTGAGAATACCCAGCTTTGTGATCAGTACTTATATAAGAGACTATCCTTTCCCCTATTTACATTGTCTTTGATTATCATTGCACTATATACATGTGGATTCATTCATTTGTACTTTTATTCTCTTTCCCTGACTTTATGCCTGTCCTTATGTCAGCGCCATGCCATTTTCATTGCTGTAGGGTTTTAGTACATTTTAAAATCAGGTAAAGGGATTCCTTCTGCTCTAAGCTGTGCATTTTCAATTCACAGTAGCCAAGTTATGTTAGGTTTCTGCCAACACCTGAATGGATAAAGAAAATATAGTTTAGATATACAATGTATATACTGTATACATATGAAAACAGCACAATGAATCCCAAATTTTATGTAATTATAATGCACCCAATAAGAAACAATGCAAAATGAAACCTACAACAACAGCAACAACAACAACAAAAAGGGAGCCAGTAAAGAAAGTAAAGTGGGAGGACCAGGAAGTGTGTAAAGGAGCAAATTATGTTATATGCATGTGTCCTTATGTCACAGTGAACCCTACTTTTATGTATAAGCATAATCCACTAATAAAAAACAGGGATAGAAAGAATTTGCTTACACATCATCAAAAGATGTTCACTTTCACCACTCCTAATCAATATAAATATAATACTTGAAATTTTATTCAGCATTGATTAGGCAACAGAAGGAAATGAAATGATATGGATAGGAAAATAAGTCAAAGGATCATTGTTTTCAAATGACAAGATATATATATATATACAACCCCAAAAAGTTCACCAGAGAAATTATAGAGCTAATAGTGAAATTCAGCAATGTAGCAGCATATAAATATGATATACAAATCAATAGCTTTTCCATATACAAATAAGCAATCTGATTAAAAAAAATCAGGGATGTAATTCCATTTGCACTAGACTCACACACACACACA